TAATTTATGTGTGCAGTCTATAATAGTTGTGTAATACAAAACTCCCCTTTTTTGTTTACTGTCTAGCATTAGTGCAAATTCTGTTAGGTACTATTAATATACCCAATCTTAATAGTTTATTTTATTATTATTATTATTATTATTACTAAACATACAATTTATGCTAGTATGTACTAGCCTAAATTTTGTGCTTTAGTCAAATGTTACTATTTAAATTTTTTAAGACCATTTTTACTATCTTTTAACTTTATATCTTTTGTATTATTATTACTTATCAAGTATCTGTGCAATCTGTAGAATCGCTTTTCTGCTACCTACACTTTGTACTGCTTGTATAAGCTCTCATATCACCTCCAGTACAACATTAACAGTTATCTTTACGCTATTTATACATTGTTAAACTTGCACAGTCATATGACTGCAAACATCGATCCTGACATCAACCTTTTATTTAATGATACACATGATCTTAACAACAATTGTCTTTATTATACTGCTAGTCAGCCTAAGACACTATTAGTGCCAACAGTAACATAACAGTATTCAATTATAATGTCAGATTACTCAGCAAGCACTATGATGACCTCCAGGCACTACTGAATTCTCTAAATGTCCAGATGTCTATCATTACTCTCACTGAACATGGCTAAAAAATTGATGTTACAAACATCTATCCATACCTGGCTACACAGCCATACACAATTGTAGGCCAGATCAATTAGGAGGTGGAACAGCTAATACTACTCTGATGAACTACAGTGTATAAATTCTACTTGCACAAGGATGAACATGGTGAATATACCTTTGCTAAATTTAAATCCAAAAACCTTACAAAACCTCTAACAGTCAGAGCAATTTGTAGAGTTCCTCACTCCAATATTTACTCTTTTACTGAAAAACTAAGAAACAAAATAACTAGTGCTGAAATGAACAAACACCACCTAATACTTACAGAGGGACTTCAACATAAATCTAATCCATGACCATGACTCACAAGTGACTGACTTCACAAACACTATGAATAGCTGCTTACTTCTATCAACAATAACAAAGCCTACAAGAATCACTGACACAAATGCCTCTTTACTAGACCATATCTGGACAAACACTATATCCCCATTAAAAGCAGGCATAATCACTGATAACACCACTGACCACTATCCCATCTTTCTCGTAACCAACTTGGGTAAAGTGCCCAAAGACACATCTAAGATCACATTCCGATTACATGACGAGTCATCTGTTAATAACTTTATTTCAGCATTTAGTGACATTGACTGGCAAAGCGAGCTAGCAGACAACTTCGATATTGATGAACGTGTTAATATTTTTTTACAAAAAACCCAAAACCTCTATACATGCACTGCCCAATAAAAACTAAGCAGATCACAGCAAAAAGACTAAACAGCCCCTGGCTTACAAACAGCATCCTCAAATCTATTGATAAACAACATCTATATGAAAAACAGTACAGAATGGATCTAATAACAAAGGATCTCACAAAACATTACTCGTCAATACTAACCAATCTAATAAGGAGGTCAAAAAACTGTATTATGAAACAGATTTCATGACAAAAAAGGCATATGAAAAAGACCTGGAAAACCTTATCTGAAATTCCAGGTACAAAAAAGCTATCAAAAAAAAAGGGACTGATTAACTTAACTAAACCAATGAAGCTCCCTACAGCCAACCGATACTGCCAACAAACTTAACGACTTTTTCTCTACCATAGGAACAAAACTAGCAGGTAAAATCCCAAGCTCAAACATACAACCAAAGGACTACCTCGCTGGCAACTACCCAAATACTCTATTTTGGCCCCAACAAACTCTACTGAAATATTGCTTATCATCAAAACACTAAAGAACAAGACAGGGGGACCTAAATAAATTACCACCACCATTACATGTATAAAAAAGCTTCTCATGAGTTGTCACTAATTATTGCAACTCTTTTTAACAAATCCTTTGGGAATCTTCCACCTTCCCATCCATACTCAAGACAGCAAGAGTCACCCCAATCCTCAAAGGAGGTGATCCAACTGAATTGAACAATTATAGGCCTATATCAAACCTGCCCCTGCTATCTAAAATCTTCGAAAAATTAAACACAAACAAGTCTACTCTTACTTCATATCGCACAACATACTCAACCCTTGTCATTTGGGTTCAGAACCGAAAAAAAATACTAATGATGCTATTATACAAAGCTTGAACAATATACTCTGCACTCGAAAAATTTTAATTTTCCCGGGGACTTCATAGACTTACGAAAAGCTTTCGACACAGTTGACCACGCCCTTTTGCACCAAAACTCGAACATTACGAGGTCAGAGGACACTCTCTATTACCTAAAATCTTATCTCCACAAAGAACCCAATATGTATACACAAATGGAGCCTTTTCCACTACACAACCTGCTCATGTTGGAGTCCCTCAGGGGAGTGTCTTGGCCCACTTCTCTTTTTCATTTACATCATGACCTACCACATGCATCTAATCTCCTTAAAAACCATTTTATTTTTCAGATGATACAACTTACGTTCTTTTCCACCCAAAATCAACCATACTAACAGACACAGTAAATGCTGAACTGCTTTAAAAAAATCAACTTGGATGATTACCAACAAACTTAGTTTTCAACATAGACAAAACCTACTTCATGCTTTTTGGAAACAGAGCTTCAAATGTACAGCTAAGCATATTGATAAATGGTTCACCTATATTGAGACAGGCAGAGGGCAAATTTCTAGTCTCCACCTTGACTGCAGTCTCAAATTTCAGACACACAATACAGTAAATTTCTAAGAAAATCTCCAAGACAGTAGGCATCCTTTGAAAGAAAGGTACTATGTCCCCCAATCCTCTTCTAGCCTGTACCACTCCCATTTACCCTTACCCACCTAGGGTAATTTCATGGGCTAAACCACATAAATCACCTTTAACCTTTAATAACCCAGCAAAAAACGCAGTGCGATTGATCACAAACCCCTTTCATTAGGCAACACACCCCCCCTTTTTTTCGAGAGTCTTAACTTGCTAAATATACAAGCATCACATTTAATTATTGTCCCTACTACATACCAGAACACTATCTAAATGTAAACCCTCCCCCCCAAACTCCTTCCTGATAACTATAACAAACACAAAACCATAATATGAGACACAATCCTCTTCGACACCCCCGTTCCATCCCCCCTATGAAAAAAAAGCAAGCTTTAAAGGGCCCGAAATCGGAATCATTGCCAAACAAACAAAGGCCCCTTGCTGCAAATATTTAAGGCCCAAATAAGAAATCACCTCATTACCAAAAATTTAACCAGTCAAACCATACCAAACCACTACCATTTCTAAAAAAGCACTCATATTGTACGAAAATGCCAACCATTTACTGTTTTAAATACAGGGGCCCCGCTTTTTTCGTAGTTCCGGAATCGAAATTTCCCCAATAAAGGGGGGTTTTTCTAAAACGGAAACTCTTTTTTTCATATTGACTGCAAGACACGCTAACCTCGGCCCCCAGCCGCATTTTTCCATACGAAGGCCCCTCACGTGCCCATGAAATACATGGACCCCCTTTTAACATATTTTTCACTCCAAAGTATGTTCGGGGTGCCATACTGCCCCGTTTGTTCCCCAAAAAAATATGTGAAGTAGATACCCCATTTCAGCCCCCCAAACATACATTTTACAAACCCCTTTTACATAAAACCTTTACAAAATTTGGCGCTTTCGGAGGTATCGAACCGGGGGTCCACTGATTTCATAAAAAATGACCCCCTTTAACGAATTTTTTCATTCCAAAAGAATTTTCAGGTGCCAGTACACCAAATTTGTTCCCCCAAAAAAAAATTTTGTAAAGTACTTTAGTAATTTCAGACCCCCAAAAAAACACGTAAAACCCCTTTACATAAATACACTTACAAATTGGTCGATTGGGGGGGTGCTTTAAAGGGGGGCCCACGTATTCCATTTATTTTGTGCTTGCAAACTAAATAAGCTACCAAAGAAAGCCCCAGTCCAACCTGGGGTAAAGAAGGTGAGAAATACACTGAATTTAAGAAAACCATCACTGAACAATACGAATGTGGTCAATGGGGCCGAACTGTCCGGGATTTAAAAAACCCCTACACAACCTTATTTCCAAGGGCCAAAGAAGGAAATAAAGGAGCTGTTGTTGCAAAGGGGAAACATGCTGACAAAAATAATCACCATACGGAAGGGGTTTGGAATTTATTATTGGGTGGATAAATGAAAACAATTTAGCAGGAGATACTCTTATGACATCGATTTTTTGTAAAAAGGGCTAGGCAGTGCATAAAATTTTTGTAAAGAAATTGCCTGCAAATATGGTGATGTGAGTGAATTTAAGGCCACAAAGGTTTTTTTTGAGAATTTAAAAACCCAACGGCATCCCCCTGTGGTAAGCGGTGAGGCTCCAGTTCGGACCACAAAGGGGTTTAAAAAATAGTGTGAATTCCGGGAGTACATAAGGCTGAAGGACGAACCCGAACAATCCCAAATTTGTGACGAAACAGCCTTTTTGGGAAAAAAAAATCCCAAAGGGGACCCTTCATTACACAAGGGGGAAAAGGGCAATCCGGGACACAACCCCTATAAAAGACACTTTTCAATGTTCTGTGCTAATGCTATGGGATTTCAAATGAAGCCTTTTCTAGTGTCCCATTCTAAAATCAAGTTTTTCAGGAAAAACAATGTTTAGAAGATAAATTGTGTGTGTTTTGGAAATCAATAGTAAGGCATGGGTCCCGAGGGAAATTTTTTTGCGGTGGTTTAATAATTTTTTGGCCCAGTGTGAAGGGTATCTCCTAAAAAGAAAAGGACTCAAATGCCTGCTATAATGGAACCACCCCGCCTCCCCAAACTTGGGGAAACCCAATTTTGAGGGTTTGGGTTCACACATAAAGTTCCTGCCCCCGAATACCACTAATCTCCCCCAGCCCATGGGCCCGCATTTCAAACTTTTAAAAAAAATCTACACAAAAGCAAAAGTTTTTACGGGCTTGACTGTGACCACAGCACCACTTGACCCAAGGAATTTTGAAGAGAACACTTCAGCATCCTCCACGCAAAACCCTTTTAAAAAATGGCTTGGGAGGGGGTGACACCCGGGCTTTTTAAATCTGCCTAAGAAAATTGTGGCCAGATTGTGTCACAAGAGGGGTTTTTTAAGGGGTTTGGGGGCTGACCCATTACCTATTCTGTTGTAAAATCAATTTTTGGCACTGGGGAGTTCCATGGGGTTGGGTGTGAGTTTGGAGAGAACACTTCACATCCTCCTTGCATAACCCTTATAGGTAGGCTTGGAGGGAGTGAATACCAGGACTTTGAACCTGCCAGAAAAATTGTGGCCAATTGTGTCGACAAGAGGGATTTTGAAGGGGTTTTTTCGACCCTTTGGGCCTAGTCTTTGAAAATCAATTGTGGCACTGGGAGTTCCATGGGGGGGATGTGAGTTTGGGGGGATTAAGAAAATTGTGAAAACCACAACGAAGAGCTCACCACGAGAGCTGCAAAGCTCAGCAGGGAAGAGCAACACATCGCGCCAAATCTTGCTCGAGGAGGAGGGGGAAGGAGAAAGAATGTGCCTTTTTCAGAAAATTTTAAAAATTTTTTACTAGTGGGTAAGTGGAAACTTTTTGGAGAAACATCACCCTAAACAAGGTTTTTTTGCAAGCCATATTGGCAACTGTACAGTGACAAAGTCTTGGCCATTTTAGGAAGTGTTTTAAAAACGCCAGAAAAAAGCTCTCTCCCCCAGTTATTTTGCGAGACAGGACTCCATTGACTGTCAAGGGGCCTAGTGGGGATTTAAAAAACAAGAAAACAAACAACCCCGAAAAGCAAATTTGGACCTGGGTGTTGATGGGAAGGGCTTCCCCTTCCAAAAAAAACAATCCCTCTCTCTCCTCCTCCAGTCTTTCCCATACACAAAAAAGAATCTCCAATAAAGGAAATGTTATGCTGTTTAAAGTTTTATTCATCATTTCCCCTTGTATTTTTTATTACTACTTATATTTCAGTAAAAAAATTTTTTTTGTTTAATACTTTTGGGGGTCAGGGAACGGATAATTTTATTTTTAAATTTTTTCTTATGGGGGAAAAATTTATTTGAATCGTAAATTTCGTTAAGTATGGGGGCCCCGGGAAAGGATTAATTTCAAAAACGAGGGACCCGTACAACAAAAACATCATATTGTAAATTTTTTAAAAAGCAAAGTTTTAAAACTGTAACTTTTTTAAAATAATTTAAATGTAAAAAACTCATTATCAAGTACATCACCGATATATTAAAAATTTTCCAACTCACCCCAAACTCATCAAAAGACCATATAAAATATGTATTTATTCCTTACTAGCTTAATTAATCTTTGCTTACCCAAAATCTCAGCATACAAGGGGGCTTTTGGCATTACACCAAACAAAATATTCCCACGACAAACCCAAAAATTTGTCAAAAAAAAAATCTAAATCTAAGTACATCTGATCGCCCAAAGCACTTTTAATCAATTGCGAACAAAGCCACCTGAGATCAGCATCCTATTAATGTGGGGTTTAAAGGCACTATCAGTACTGCATTATAAGAGGTATAAATATAAAGCAAACCCGCATAAGAATTATCAATAAAAAAATAATAAGAAAAAACGTAAGGCCCTGACTTGCAAGGTTCTGACTGCGAGTTCAATTGCGAGTTCTGATATGAAAGGTTTTTTTACTTTGACAATGGCATTTTGGAACCGATTAATTCCCTTTTGAACAATGACCGCTCTTCCAACATTAGGGCAACTGTATTTATTATTTTCTTAGGTATAAATTATAAAAAATACATTTTCTTGGTTTGGGTTTTTCACCAAATGCATTCAAAATTTGCATAGCACATAGAGAACTCATATTTGTTTGGTAAAGAACTGAAGATTTAATATTACGTTGTGAATTACATCAGTGACTGTGGTTGGGGGGAGGGGACTGGTTGGGTTGTCTGGGGCCCAGAAGAGAGACCTTGGCTCACAACATTGTTACCTGTGTCTTAGACACATATAGTTGGTGACTTTTGACCACAGAACACTGTCCCTCTCCCACCCCTCCAGCCTCTATCACCCACACCACACACCCTTCACCCACCAATCCTCTCTCATACCCACCAATCGTCTCTCGCACCCATCAATCCTCTCTCACATCCACTAATCCTCTCACAGCCACACCCAAACCAGCTACCCTCACTCACCCCCCACACCTACCTACCACCACAAACCCTCTCCTCACTCTGTTTGTAAGTGAAAAGAAACATTTACTGAATATAAAATATTGGTTAAAAATTCTCTGGAAAAAAATTATGTGAAACTAGAAATGAAATATTACAGCCCAGGAATACATTAACAGTAACACTGTTCTCATGGAAAAATAGGTTCAGGAATGTACTGACATCGTAAGTTGGGGCTCTACTGTACTACATGTAAAATACAGTAGGACCCCCACATCCGCGGGTCTGGTATCCACGGTTTCAGTTATCCACGGTTTACCGTGACCCAAAAATACCCCTTAATTTTGCTTAATAATGGTCTTGAAATGCATCCCCCATGGATACAGGGGTCCTACTGTAATGTAAAAAAATTTTAATGAACACTCCCTTACAAATGACAATTATTTGCACATTTACATGTAATTTAAATAAACGACAATCAAATGTAACATACTACAGTCCCTTCTTATCCATTCATCTGCTAAACTAAACCATTGTACATTAATCTGAAATACTCTACCAAACTAATTACAGAACAATACTTTATTGTTATAAAATTTGCAAATTATTATAGGTCAAAAAGACTCCCTTCACTTGCACCAACTGCAGAACATACTTGCTGAAAAATAATAATGTAATAATAAATGCGATAATTAGGGTAAGATATAAAGTTCAATACCAATTTTAAGAGTGACATTATCATGAAAAACAAGTGTATGGTCAGTTAATCTACTGTATTGACTCACCTGCAGGACATGAGGCACTTGAGAAACATCTGGCTTTAAAAGTGCAAGTGTTAATTGCAGACGACCTCGAATGGCCATTGTCATGTTTCCGTATTCCTGTAAACATAATTTCATTTTACAGCATTAACCTTTAAATGGTCCAAACGTATACATACGTTCTTACACGTAGCACCCCAAACCTATATATATGTTTTTTTTTTCCTGCCTTCAAATTTGGCACGACTGGCCTGAGATGCCTTGTCAGCATAGAATGGGTCCTAACACTCAGTGTGCGGGGTTTTAAAAAAAAATCTGAGACCACTTAACACCTTGTGGGAGCCCCATTTTAAATTGAGCGCCAGCTAGAGCAAACAGTGCGGCAAACACCAAAGATCACTGATGTAATGTCATGTTAACACTCCTCTTTTAAGAGGAAAGTGATGTTAACCCCAAGTTTAGGGTCTGTCTATCTCTGTATCTCTGTCTTCCTCTATCTATCTCTGTCTATCTGTGTCTGTCTCTATCTGTCTCTGCCTCTATCTTTGTCTATCTGTCACTGTATCTCTTTCAATCTGTCTCTCTTTCTATCTGTCTGTCTATCTCTGTCTCACAGGTACACATAAATACAAGTATACATAGTGTAAATTACCGAGGATAACCCAAAAAATCCAGACAAAGTGCTATACTCTGCTTGTCCAGAGGGCTGAGGAAGGGTTGTTGAGGTGGTTCAGACATGTAGAGAGAATGGAGCGAAACAGAATGACTTCAAGAGTGTATCAGTCTGTAGTGGAAGGAAGGCGGGGTAGGGGTCGGCCTAGGAAAGGTTGGAGGGAGGGGGTAAAGGAGGTTTTGTGTGCGAGGGGCTTGGACTTCCAGCAGGCGTGCGTGAGCGTGTTTGATAGGAGTGAATGGAGACGAATGGTTTTTAATACTTGACGTGCTGTTGGAGTGTGAGCAAAGTAACATTTATGAAGGGATTCAGGGAAACCGGCAGGCCGGACTTGAGTCCTGGAGATGGGAAGTACAGTGCCTGCACTCTGAAGGAGGGGTGTTAATGTTGCAGTTTAAAAACTGTAGTGTAAAGCACCCTTCTGGCAAGACAGTGATGGAGTGAATGATGGTGAAAGTTTTTCTTTTTCGGGTCACCCTGCCTTGGTGGGAATCGGCCAGTGTGATAATAAAAATAAAAAAAAAAGAAAATGGAAAGCCTGCATCTGCGCAGACGAGACTCGCCATCTTGGTTTTGAATTGGATACAACGTTAGTGTAATGGGAAGGAATTTTTGTGCTCTAGAGGTTAAAATTGGGCTGACACCTCTCAAATAGGAGGCGAAATTGTTGGACATGCATTCCTGCATAACTTGAGATATCAGACGACTGGACAAGACAGCTCCAGGAACCTCAGATAAGCTCTCTAGATTTGTGTATAATTCTGGCCAGTGTTTTCATAAATTTAGTTAGTGAGGTTTTTCTGAGTATGATACAATTTAAATATCCAGCCCAAATTGGTGAGTGATATAAGATATATTTTCCTTCTGTTAGGTCATTGTGTATATATATAACCTTTATTATTTTAATATACAGTCCACAAAATTTATATACTTACCAGTATTCCTGGTTATACATATTTCATTGGTAATTTAAAGGGTCCAGAGCAATTTGGGAAAATTTGACGGGGTAGGATCAAAGGGGGACATTTTTTCGCCTAGGTGCCCAAAATTTCCTACTTGTCAACTGATAAATAATAATTATCTTTGTTCATTTTTACTGTTATTTAAATGATACTTTTCAGCAAATGAAATTTTTCCCTTTAAAAATTCCCCCTTTGGTCCCCCCCCTGACTGGGGAAATTGGGTGAAGCTTTAAATTAGTTAATTGCTAATAATTATACATGAAATAAAAAAGGAGGGTGGATAAATTTCCCCACAATTTTTACTTAATGGTTTTGTGGATTTAATTTTCAATATTTTTTGGAAAAGCTAAGCTAAAGGGTGGTAAAGATTATATTAAATGTGTATAAGTGTAGTGAAACTGAAAAAAATGTACAAATTATATTAATGTATATAATATTAATTTTGCAAACCCAAAATTTCGGAAAGGATTTATATTTGTATAATATTTAATTTGATAAGACAATTCGGCCAAGTTTTATATCAGTGTATTTAATTGATAAGAAAAGTGTGTCAAAAGTTTTAAAAATGTGTATTTTTAAATTTTGCTATGAAAATTTCTGGAAAGGATTTTTAAATTTGTATAATTTCATTTTGATAAGCCAAGTTTGGCTAAAGTTTTGTTTTAAATGCAATTTAAAATTTTTTTAAAATTTTTTATATGAAATTTGCTAAGCTCAAGTAGCTGGGTTTTTTTAAAGGGGGTAATTGTATCAGTGTTGAAAATTTGAAATCATGTTATTAATAAAGTTGAATTAAATATTGCATCATGGCTGAAAATGAGGAAATTGATGTAAAAAGACAAACATAGGGAATATAGAGTAAAAAAGCATCACTACAGGCTGGAAAGTTCATGCCCAAAGGGCATAAAAAAAGTGCGGGAATTAATGATTCAAAAACTGGGAAACATGATTAAAAATTGATTTAGATGCTTTGGGAACAGTTTTAATTCATACAAATTAATTAAAACAAATATGAAGGAATTTGTTAAAACTGTTGGGATAGACTGAATACTCAGTTTTAAAATTTAGGGGAAAGATTCTTTCTTGAAAAAAGTCGGGCCCTTGAAAAAATTTAAAAATGTGAAACCAGGCAGTTAATCATCTGCTCCAACAAAAAATATTCTTTCCAAAAAACTCCCAGAATTGTGTTTGCCTGTTTTTTAATCCGGAGAAGGGGGAGAATTTTTGGTCAATTTTAAAGCAGCTTGCATGCAGGAGTGACCTCTGTGTAACAAAATTTTATTTTACCTCAAAGGGACAGGTAAAGGAGATGCTCACATACGATACAACCTTTCCCAATGTAGATGACCTTACAAGGAAGCATTTGATTTGGGAAAAGGTCACTTTTGGAAATAAAAACAAAGTGGGTTTGGTTGGGAAATATCATTGTTAATTTAAAACTCCAATCACACTTAAAAAGGGTTTTACCGGGGTTTTTAAGTTAAACTGGAGAGCACTCTCAAAACTTAAGAATAAATATAATTAAAGGGAAATAAACCTGGCTATTGATCCCATGGTACAGAAAAAATTTAAGCTGTAAAACATTTGAAGGTTCCAACAACATTGCACACTCTTTTAACAAATCCATTGATCCTCCCTTCCCCCTCAGTACTAAAAATAGCAAGGTCCCCCCGATCCACAAAGGGGGAACCCAAAACAGAGTTAAATAACAAAGGGCCCAAAACCAATTACCCCCTCTCTAAAAAATCTTCAAAAAATTTAATTCATAAACAATCTACTCCTCCCTTATCCCCAAAACATACTAAAACCCCTGCCATTTGGTTTCGGGCCAAAAAAAATACTAATGATCTATTTACACATCTAGAATATATACACTGCAATAGAAAAAAAGAAGCCCCACTGGGATCTTATTGACTTACGAAAAGTTTTTGATACATTTAACCCAGACTTGCTCCACGTAAAATTGTCACACTATGGTATAGGGGGCATCCCTCAACTACCCAAGTCATACCTCAGCAACAGAAGCCAAATGTGTATGCAAAAGGGGGGCAAACTCTTCGCACAACCAATTACAGTTAGTGTCCCACAGGAATTTTGCCCTTTGGGCCCTTTTTCCTTTCTCCAATACAAAAATGCCCTACCAAATGCTTCGCAATTACTAAAACCCCACATTGCAGATAAAACCAACATACGTTTTCTCCCACCCGACCCCAGTCACGCACCCAATACTGTAAATCCCGAATTACAGAAAATACTCCCTGGAAGGACTAAACAAATTTACACTAAACATTGACAAAACCTCTTCTTTAGTTTGGTAACAGAGCTACAGAGCCCTCTTAACAAATGAAAACGGATCCCCTATCAAAACTAACAAGGGGAAAAAAATTCAGGAATCCACCTTGATAATAAAAAATTTTACCATATACAACAAATTTCAAAAAAAATTTTCCAAGACTGTAGGCAACTATCGAAGAAGGGTACTATGCCCACATCACCCTCCTGGCCCTAATCACCTCTTATTTACCCCTACTCACCTAGGGAATTTGTGCATGGGCTCAACAAAAATAACCATCTCCCCAAAATTTACCCAAAAAAAGGGCTGCATTTAGAATGATAACAAATTCTCACAAGGGCGCACACCCACCAAATTAAAATCCCAAAAACCCTTTCACCTCAAAACATTCTATTATATGACCTATACATACATAGAACACTTAACTCTGATATTACCCTCCCCCAAACTTTCCCTTTCCCAACCTCAACAGAACACATGACCCATAACACAAGGCACAGACATTTTGATTTCCTGGTCCATCTCAACTATGAAAAAACCCAAAATGCACATAAAAGGCCCTAAAATCGGGAAAACTCATTCCCTTAAAAAAAGAAACCCTACCTGTTTAAAAAAATTTTTGTCCTTCTAAAAGTCACTTACTCACCCAAAACCAAATAATCTGAATAACTAAACCCTTTAAAAAAAATTGATATTTTAAATGTTTTCAAAATTATATCACATAAATTTTAAAAACCTAAAACCCAACTAACTTTATTATTTTAAAATACACCCCTAACAAAATACCCCCATTCACTGAATTAAACAATGCATACAACCTAGACCTTCTTTTGTAATACCCTTGTGTTTTAAAGTAATCTGTTTACATTAAATTTTAAACAAGATGTATAAATTTTTTTTTTTCATTAATTTAATTTTAACCCACCCGTAAAATGCTATGCATAGTATAAGTGGTTTTGGCACTGCTCTCCCTGAAATTTTTTGTACCTCTGTAGTGTGCTCAAATTTTTAAATAAAAAATAAATAAATAAAAAAATATCACAAGGGTTTTTTTTGGGGGGGAAAATAGATGGGGTCTAAAAGAATTAATTGTGCAGTTGCGACCAGCCAACTAACTCATTTTAAAGATGCAACCAAAAACTCTGAGTATCGCAAGTTTCAAAAAGGGAGAAATTATCCCAATAGTATAATAAAAATTCATTTCCAAAAAAGAGTTGCATAGGTGCAATAAGTAGCAAGAACAGAAATAATGATTCCCACGGGTAAGAAAATAATACCCCCAAAAGAGAACCCCAGTTAATAAGAAAACCAGTCAGAGAAAAGAAGTTTTGCTTTTCTGAAAGGGGTACTAATTTATCTAAAAATGCAATCATAAAATTTCATAGAATGAAAATTTTAAAAGTTTTGGGGGAACTTGACGATGTACAGATGGGGAATCACAATGAAAAGGATTGTTTCCAAAATTAAACTTGTACAAGCACAAAGGAAGACACCATATTCATGTGTAAAGGTTATATAAAAAGTTTATAAAAATGAAATGTTGACAACCTGAACAACAGGGGCTAATGTAAAAATTGGCTGCAATTTAATAAAAAGGGTTTTGCTAAAGTAGCCTTACCTGTGTTCAGGAAAAAAATTATGATAAAAGGCTTAAATCAAAAAATGAAACTGCATTATTGAATCGGGGATCCCAGCTACTTTCAAAAAATGTAAATGTTTTGATGGATAAAGTACAGATGGTGACCCACAACTTTAAAATTATCTTTTTTTTCTCGGGGGGGGGAAAAAGGGGCTAAAATTGTATACAGTTTATGTAACTGCGGTTGGGCAATGAGAAAAAACGTTTAATGCAGAAT